CCCCCCCCCCCCCATCTCTCTGATCTGCTACAACCGTATGTCCCACCACGCTCCCTGAGGTCAGCGGACCAGTTGCTCCTCACAGTTCCAGGAACTCGTCTTAAGCGCAGAGGTGACAGGGCCTTCTCTGTAGCAGGACCAAGACTTTGGAATGAGTTACCTCTGCTTGTCAGACAGGCCCCTCCCTCTCGGTTTTCAAGTCCAGTTTAAAAACTCACTACTATTCAGTAGCTTTCAACACCAGATGATCTGTGTTTGATCCTGTATGCTCCACACTGGTTTGTCGTCATTATCTGCATCGTTTTTATGTCTATATTCTGATTTACCTCATTTTGTATTTTGCTTTGTGTGTTACCTGTTGTTCTGTCTGTACAGCTCTTTGGTTGGCCTTGTAGCTGTTTTAAGTGCTCTATAAATAAAGTGGTATGGTATGATGAGGTCTGAAGGGTCTGATGAGGTCTGAAGGGGTCTTGTGAGGTCTGAAGGGTCTGTTGAGATCTGATGAGGTCTCAGGGTCCAATGAGGTCTGACGGGTTCTGATGATGTCTGACGTGGTACCCATGTGTGTGTGTGTGTCCATGGTGCAGGGTAAGCTGCAGTCCTTCCTGATTGTCGCCTCTCAAACCCTGGAGAGCTTTGTGAAGTCTCTGGATGACGACATGAAAACTCTGACTGAAGACCCAAACTCCAGCGAACACCAGTTCGTGTTGGCCCTGGTTGGAACCATAACCAGTGAGTGTTCCAGCTCAGATATTACTGCTTTACCTTTCCTCTCTGGGCCGGTGTTCCTAACAACCATTCCTGGACATGTGGCATCGTCTTACAGCTGTGTGAATGTCTACAAAATGCAATGTCCTAGTAGATCTCAACCTTGTAGGTGGGAGTCTTTGACCTCTGACCTCTTCTGTTTTCTTTGCACCAAACAGACATCGCAGCTGTGGCATGTGGGCGGGACTTCCTGTCCAGCTCAGGACACGTCTTGTTGGACGCTCTGATGAAGCTCCTGGAGCTGATGAAGCCCGGGGTCTTCCCCAGTCTCAAAGTGTACGTGCCACCCCAGTACCACCCAGTCCAAGTGTGCGGCTCTTCTACTGCACGGACACAGTGACTGTTGGGGTTAGCTAGAACGTGTTCAGACTGAACCTTTTTATCTTTTGTTCAGTGGCAGAGGTCGAGTGAGCTCGTGCATTATTAAGACTGTGTGTGTGACAGGATGGAGCAGAGCAGAGAGACCGTGACGGTAAATATGTGTTGCAGGTTGTCCCTCATGGCTCTGTACAACGTGAGCATCAGTGTCAAAGGACTCCAGTACATGAGTGAGAACAAAGGGCTCGTGCCTCTCATCTGGACCCTGTTAGACGGTGAGAGGACATTTAAAAGCACGAGTCAAAGGAGCCTCCAACGTCTAACCTTAGTACCTAACAGAGCCCCTGTACTGTCACTAACCATCTTTGTGTTTGTGTCAGATGGACACTGGGAAGTGTGCCACCACTGTCTTCGTCTCCTGCAGTCGGTGTTGCTGGAGGAGGAGGCTCTGCTCCTCCTGGGCTCCTCTCTGTTGAATCCAGACCTTCGAGTTCGAGTCAGCCGGCTCACGTCCAGCGTGCAGCCGAGCCTGAGAGCAGCGGCTCTGCAGACCCTGGAGGACCTGCAGGCCCTCCAACAGGTACCAGACTCTCTGTACGAGGATCCGTTCTGCAGCTGCTGAGGTCACTAACGAGCCCTAACATGGTGGTGTCAGTTAACCGTGACATCTGTTTAACATCTGCTTTGTTTACAGGACCAGTGATGTAAACAGACGCCACGTCCTTCGTCGGATCTTCTGCCAGTTGTCTTCATGAAAACAAACTGTCAACTTGTTTTTAAAAGTTGTATGTGTTGAAGAAGATTTAGCTTTTACCTGCAGTACGTTATGAGAAAGGTTCAAATAAAACACTTGTAGTGTACGAACTGTGTTTACTGTTTTGTATCTGAAAAGGATGGAAATTAGAGTCATGGTTGACCCCGTGACCCTGAACAAAAAACTAAACGGACGGTTGGTCTTGTAGGTTATCTGAGATAAGGATGGACTCGAGAATTAAACGAGTCAGTTGTCTTTCGTAGCGTTTAATGTAGCGCCTTTCTATATAATCCAGATACTCGACTTATTGGTGGGAGATACGGCTCAAATATAAAATCGTGATATTTCAGAGCATTCTGACGATAACGATACATTTTGTGATATAACAAAAAAAACAGAAATCGTACTTATTCATTTGACAACATTAACACGTTGCTTTGCAGTATTCAATAAAATTTAAAACAACAACAAGGTAATTTGACTGAAATTACTTTATTTAGTAAAGTATTCAGTCTTCAAGTATAAAACTAAAAAAGATCCTTCTGGTATTTAGATTGAAAAGTCAGCACAAAATATAGATCAATAAATCCACCACAGAAACTAAAGTGCAGGTGAAGTTTCACAAAATAACTAAATAAAATGAAGCTTAAGATCTGTTGATCATAAATGTAACAAAATATATTTCTTTAAATGAGCTGTAACTTCCAGAAGTTGAAACAAGGTGATCATGTGACCCTGAAGCTTCAGGAGTTTCATCTGTTCCTGCAGGAATCATTCATGTCTCTGATCACATGACTCTGTCTCTGATCACATGACTGTCTCTGATCACATGACTTTGTCTCTGATCACATGACTGTCTCTGATCACATGACTTTGTCTCTGATCACATGACTGTCTCTGATCACATGACTCTGTCTCTGATCACATGACTGTCTCTAATCACATGACTCTGTCTCTGATCACATGACTTTGTCTCTGATCACATGACTTTGTCTCTGATCACATGACTCTGTCTCTGATCACATGACTGTCTCTGATCACATGACTGTCTCTGATCACATGACTTTGTCTCTGATCACATG